GTGAATCTCTCTTTATATATATATAAATTTTTTTATCGAATGATTATAGATGTTTGTTGAAAAATTAATATGCATGATATATATAAATAAAATATTCATTAGAAAGTAATATTTTTGAAATTAAAACACTAATTTTTTTATGAGAATTGGAATTGACATGCATTTTATATATAAATTTGTTAATACCAAAGCAAATGTATGATGTAAAGTGATGGATGTATATGTTGTTGCTTTCATATATTACAATTTGGATCAAGGTCATTTTTTGTTTCTGGACTATATATGAGTTAAATTAAAACTCATAATCAATCATTTTAATAAGCTAATTAAAGATTCAAAAAAATTGCTGCATCTGTGAAACTCATTCTTTCTTAATCATAAGTATTTTCATTTTCACTTGTAATTGCTGGTAGTTTCTTGTTTCTTGAATTTACAGTGCACTATATTTTGGAGCAAAGCGCAGTTTTGCGTCCCCTTGAACAAGAAAGTTTTCTGAAATTGAGAAATAAATCTTTTTGATGATATGAACTCGTTAACGTTGTCTCTTGGTAGGTAAGCCCAAAGAGAATTTTTGTTGGGCCCTCTTCTTCCTCTTTTGCTTTCTATCCATTTTTTAGGTTTTAATTTTAGAGAATAGGCTAATTAATAATTATTTGTGATTCTGTTTATATTTCTTGCCTCTTTAAATTTACAAGCCTTCTTTAAGTTTGTTGATGCTCCTTTGCGGAATTCCAATAATGTGCTATTCATTAGGACAAATTGATAAAATCACCTAACAAGTTCTTGCATTAGAAATTTATGCTTTTTTCTTCTTTCAGAGATTGAATTAATTCAGATTCAATGAATATAGTTGATAAAATCACAGTTTTTAATAGCCAAGATTCATATTTTTTGTAAATTTCTTGTGTTGTGTCCTATTTGCTGCTCTACCTTTTTCACTACTGAATAAGAATAGAACTTGCTTATACATGTCCAAGTATATATAGATGAAAAAAAGCTACGAATTGATTTAATTATTTCATGGATTGTTAAGGCTGACATCAATCAGAGCAACAATTTGTCTTGCATATTGATGTTATTGTATATGCTAATTTCATTTTTAATTTATCCATTCATTTATTGTTTAATCATGCTTAATGCTTTCTTCTGCAAGATCGTAGATATAGGTTTAGGACTTGGGAAGTCTAATGCAATTTGCTGTCAAGTCCATCAAATCTGTTGCCTCTCATTGTCATAAATTAAGGTTTACACAAAATTGTTCTATTTAAAAGAGAGAATCTGACTAGGCCTTGTGTCAAGGCGTTATGCAATTCCAAAAAGACTCTTGAAGAAGGTACAAAATCATCTCCAATGAACAGAGATCCTTTCCCTTTCTTGTAGAGGCTTGAGACTTGTTTTTTATGATAGAACAATCCACAATTTCAGAGTACTACTAACTCAAATAATAGTTGCTGCAAATTGTGAAATAGATCTATGTTGCCATTGAGCTATTTTTTTTTTTTTTAATTTTAGGTTTAAATACTAATTTGGTCCCTTAACTTTTAGAATTATAACAAAATTGTCCCTCATCTTTATAGACTACCAAAATGTAATACCCCAAAATTTTGTGATATTTTAACATTAAGTTAAGGACTTTTATGAGAGGAAATATTATGTTGGGGCTTAATGGTAAAATTTGAAAACTTGAGGGACTTAAAAGAGAAAAGATTTGGATAAGGACCGGGTGACTTTTTTCTTCTTTCTTTCTTCCTCAGCCCGTGTGCTTCTGCTCTTCTTCTTCTCCCCTGCAACTGGCAAAACCCCCAAGCCCGACAGCCCTCCCTTGAAGAAAAACCAGTAAAAGCTTGGGAATTTCTCCTTATTTTCTTGCTCTAGAACCCAAATTGAACCCAGAACCAAATTGAACCCAGAAATTCCCCCCCCCCCCTCTCTGCTGGAAATTCCAGATCTGCTCTGCTCTGTCTTCCCCGTCGGCTGCTCTTGCTTGTGGGTGTGATTTTCGGTCTTTCTTGGTAAGAAGCAGCTATGAATTCATCTCTTTAGCTTTGATTTGCCTTGGGTTTACTTTAATTGCTTTTATTTCCTCCCAATTTTTGGTAGCCCCGTGAATTGCCCCTGCAGATTGCCGCCGGCTTCTCCCCCTACTAGGCCCGGTTCTGCAGCTGGAAAATTTTGGTATGTTGACAGCCCCTCCAAGCTTGAAATCTCATCAATTGGTTGCTGAATTATCCATGTAATTATTGCCTTGTGATGTCCAAAATTCTGCAGAAAAATGGATGAATTCCGGTAGCCTTGAACATGTTTTAAGCTTGGTTTAAGTGTAAATTAGCTTGATTTAGGCTGTTGTGATTTTTGGAGAGAAAATCCAGTGAATTAGCTAGTGTTTTGGCCAATTTTGAAAGTGCAGTTACTGTTTATGGGCACTGTTCACGGTACTGTTCATGCACTGATGACCAACACTTAATGGGGATTAAATGATTAGTTTGTAATATAAGAACAAATTTGGAGATATTTGATCATGTGGAGATTGATAGGAATAGCATCGTGATTAGGCGGTAGTCATGGTGATTTTACTTTTGAATCCGTGGTACGGTAATTAATTCTGGAATATTTTGATTAGGTTCTTGATCATTGGTTGCCCTAGCACTTGGATTGAGTCCTCGGTTTATGGAGTGAATTTTCTATGTTATGCGATTTGAGATAAGTAAATTTATGGTAATGCCCGTACAGTTTTTAAAAGCATGTTTTGATTTGTTTTGAAGTGATGGCGGGACTAAACCCGTTTTACACAAATATGAGCATGACTGATTTGAAATGGAATTATTATGTTTTTCATTAAATTGAGCATGCCTACTTGAAGTTTAATTGATTGTCCTGATGATTTGAAAGTGATTGGTGAATTATGATTTTTCTGTTAACTTCAGCCTGTTTTGTCTCCGATGTGGTCATGTTATTAGTGACCCTGCTAATGGGGGTTAAACGCTAGCACATGTCGACATGTTAGTGATAGAGCCGGTTCGTTCGAGTGACCCTGCTAGTGGGGATTATACACTAGTAAATCGTGTGCCTGCCAGTGGGAGGTTTATAACATTGGCCATGACCTATAAAGGAAACGTCTATTTCGTTTCCGTACTCGTACCTGTTTTTCGTGATTATATTGGTTGGCATGCTATAAGTTTAATAAGGGCACTCCATATTTTACTTACTGAGTTTATCTCATAGTTTTTCCTTGTCCACCGTTTCAGGATGCGAAGTCAAGGACGGGGAAAAGCGAGGGGAGTGACGAGTTAGAAAGCTAGCCATCTTGTAAATTGATATAGATTTAGAAATAAATCATGCTCTTGTAAGCTAAAGTGTATTTGGAGATTTTATGATATCAGAACAGATTTTAAAATTTTATCTTCAGATTTTGTGGTATCAGATTATGATATGATTAAGTTCCGAGTCTTGTGCATTTGTGGGATCCTCTCACGAGTGCACGGCGTCTGCCACGTCTCTGGATTTGGGTTCTGGGGCGTGACACAAAATTATCCCTAAACATTAATTTTCAATTCCAAAATATTTTTTTTTGTTAACAGAAACGCCATGTAACTAGTTACTTTTTCCATAAATCAATTATTTTTTAAAATATTAATAATGTGTAAAATCAACTAATTATATTTTGCCATTAAGATATATTTCTATTTGGATATTAGATTAATATTTAATCAAAATTGAAAAACTAAATTGATATTTCTAGTTAAAGTTCAAAGATTAAGTTAGAACTTATTTTCAAAGTTTAAGGACCACATTGGTACTATCTTCAAAGTTTGAAAACTATTTTGGTACTAAAAATTAAAATTTAAGGATAATTTTGATATAAATTTAAAAGTTACGCGATCAAATTAGTATTTTAACCTTTATTTTATTGTTGTTTGGGAGATCAATTTGTTTTCGGTTCAAATGAATAAAGTACAATTTACCAATAATAATATTTCATCTTATTTGATCCTATATCATGAATTATCATTACTCTGTGCATTTCTTTCATTTATCACTTTAAATTATAATAAATTAGACAACTTTTGCTTCAAATAACAGAAGCTAATTAATGCGGACATCTATAGCGAAACTGGTTAAGTGCAAAAAGTTAGTAAAAGTATTCTGATAATTGGATTTTCCTCTCTTTTGTGGTCGGGGGTGGGGATGTTAGATTAGCAGACTACACATAACTAAAAAGAAATAGGGTTTATAAAAATTTAAAGTGAAAAAATAAGCATTCCGGCAAAAAATGTGATAATTAGGGCTACCAAGCCATTAGTAAGGACATATATTTAGTTCTAAAATTTTGTTCCATAAACTCATAAAAACAATACCCTTTTCATTCTACAATAATAGCCGCAATTTGATTTTATGTTTAGATAAAGAATTTCAAGATAATTTTTATTTTTATTTATATTAATTTT